TTCTTATTATTTATTTCTTTTAATATTTAATTTCCATATATTTTTCAAAATCTATGAAAAAACTAGAGCTGTAAATGAACCAAACGTTCGCGAACAAAATCTCGTTCGAGCTCGTTCGTGCTCGACAGAAGCTCGTTCGTTTGTTAATCGAGTCGAGTTTGAACAGAAAATTAGGCTCGTTTAATAATCAACGAACACGAGCTCGTTCGTGAATGTTCAATTATGTTCATGAACATTAATTTAATATAATTTTATTTTATTCTTTATATATTTACATAATATTTTTAATAAAAAATCTAAAATTTAATATAATTAATTTTTTTTATATATTTACATAATATTTTTAATAAAAATCTATAATATAAAAATATTTTCATTTTATTTTCGAGTTCGAACAAGTTCAAACGAACAAATTTCGAGTTAATCAAACATATTTATAAGTTTATGTATTAAATTATTCGAACACGAACGAATTCGAACTTTGACGAACAACTAAATGAACGAACTCGAACACGATTTTTCGCTCGAGGAATAAACAAACGAACATGAACACTGTTCGAACATAAACAAACACGAGCTCGAACAGCCCAAACTCGGTTCGGTTCGTTTACAACACTAGAAAAAACTACATTAAAGTGATTATTTTATGGTGTATTAATAAATTTTATTGGTTCTTCTCGGGTAATATTCATGCTCGTGGGCGACTGCGCGTGCGGCTGCTGGGTGCTCAGTTCTTCTAGGGTAATATTCATGTTCGTTCAGGCGAATTACCCGGTTAATTTTTTGTCAGTTCCATAGTGCAATTTTCCTATAAAATAAGAGATAAGAAGAGAAATAAACAAAAACATCAAAACGACACAAAAACATAAAAATGTGCAAAAACGAGTAAATAGACCGGAAATAACCTAAAATAAACTAAAACGTGCACAAACAAAACACTAAAAAACATAAAAAATAACAACAAAAACATACAAAAACAAATATTAGCCTCAGACTGTTTCTTTTACCACATCATAATATCAAAAGTAATTTTCCAATTGGACTTTTAGTTTATTTCGTCAAAACTGAAATAAACACTTCAATTCAACAATTTCCAATATAATGGACACATTTTCTATCAATGAATGAAATACACATAACTTCTATGGAGTCTCCAATGACTCATTGGTAAAACCATTTATGATTTGATGTATTGAAACATATATCAAGTGCATTTATACACAATTAATAAATAATTGTGTATATTAACATGTGTCCATTGTGGGCATATGAGCATTTCCCTATTTCATTGAGAAATGCCCACATATATATTTAATGAAATATATATTAATATGTGTCTATCGTGGGCATGTGAACATTTCCCTTATTTCATAATAAATCCCATTTCTGTATAGAAAATTGATCAAATACATTTTAAGGACGAAGAAAGAGGTACAGAACGACTGTACTAACACATTTAAATATTTAATAACCTTTTTTTTTTCTTGGTAATGATATGAACCTTTTTTATCAAATCACGGGTAGTCNTTAATGTCTCACAATCCATTTTGGCCGCACTCAACAGAAAAACATCTCTTTATCGCAATCCATGAAAATTAATAAAACCCTGTGCTTGGAATTGACAAATTGAGGTAAGAATTCGTGAATGTCATGAGTGAATCTTGCAATGAGATCTTTGGTGTTGAAATTGAATTAAAAGAAAATCCTCCGTGTTGAAAAAAACAAATATTAAACGACTCACTTGATTAGAATACTAATAATAATATAAAAACTTTTAAAATAAAAAATACACAAATTCATTTTTTTTTTTTTAAGATAGAATTTTTATATATAACTCAAAAATATTTACAACCGGGCAAGCCAAAAGGCTGCATGTTTCCCCCACACAGGAGCAGGAAGGGAAAAACATTTAGGGGAGAGTTATATCACAATCTCCCCCTTCATATACATAAAAGCTGCATACTCCTAAAAAAATACATAAATTCAAATTGCAGATATTTTAGTATTTGTAATTATCTTACGTTTGCTATTATGTCATCCACATGAGGCAATAAAATATTTCAAATTGCATAAGCATGCTTAATCATTAAATATACTAATTATTTCAATTAATGTGTATAACTTTTATTGACTATTATACTTTACAAATATAAACAATTATACATTATTTCAATTAATGTGTATAACTTATATTTGTTAAAAGTGTTCGATATATTTTTTTCTAACAATCACACATAACTTCGTATTGATATTAGTAATATGTTATTTTAAAGTTAATACACATATACTTTTTATTATTCTAAACTATAATAATTTGACTGGTGGTTAACATCATCATTTGGAAGTATATACACCCAAAGAAGGTTCCATATTGCTATAAATAGGATTGATTAATTTTTAACACGTATGAGTGAGCAAAATTGGTCTAGAGAAATTTGGTGTAACGTGTAACGTGTTGCCTTATCTAGTTATCTACACAGAAGAAAAAGGAAAATTAAATGCTATTCGAAGAACTAAAGGCAAAATTTGTGAATTTTAATTGACTTATTATTAATGATGAATCTATATATTAATCTAGAACTTGTTGATATCTAAATAAAAAGCTCACATGGTCTATAACCTTATTTGATATAAATTTGTGGTTCGTATTGACATATTTATAGACTTGCAAATAACATAATCAAATTATGTTACATATATTCTTTCTCTTTGTAATGTAATTCGCATATTCATTATTGTAAATGCATATTTGTTTTTTTAAGTGTATAACTTCTTATCTATACGTTCTTTCATATATAGTATATTAACTAATTAATCTTTTAACGATTCGCGATTTGATACCGCTATATTGCATATATAAATTGAAAATTAATGTCATATGTTGTTATAATAAATATTCAAATCTATTATTATCAAACCAAATTGCAATTAAATTTTATGGAGTCGTAAGTAATATGCATCAATTTTATGCATTTATAGATGTGATTAGAAACATTAATTTTGATAAACTAGAATAAATTATCAATTATGGGAGTCGCATTAAATAATTTTGAAATTCACTCTCCACTTAGAATTAGTTGAATACTTATGGAACAAAAGGTTGACAAGATTATGCTCAAAATGAAAATAAAACGACAAAAAGTTGACTAGATTATCATTTTGCTACAACTAAAATCAATTGTTCTATATTTTTATATGTATAAAAGCTCTCAGAAAAAGTATAAAATGCAATTGGTCTTAGTAAGATCACTTTATCTGATCATTTTTTGGAGAAATTTGTGTTTCTTTATTCTCTTTCCAAGATTGGCCGCGGCAGGGGAAAGGCGTGTTTCCTCATATTTTTTAATTCCACGTACTGTTTACATCGAACATCTCTATTAATTTATTTAATTATTTCAAGGAAAAATGTACCTATTATTTTAATTGAATATACATATACCATCAAATCAAATTTCATTAAGAAAGAGTTAAAGAAGACCATGCTACATTAACATTCGTATAGACGTAATACACATATATTTGATACTTGTTTAATATTATTAAATTGTATGGCTTTTACAGTTAAACAATCTTTAACATTTCAAATATAGTTTTGTCAAGCATAGTTTTTAAACCCGGCCCGGTGATCGACCCGGGCAGGTCCTCGGGTCACCGGGTCACCGGTTCAACCGTCGGGTCACCGGGTCAATTGCTGAACCGGATAATTAATTTAAAATTTTTTAAAATTATATATAGAGTATTATTGTTATATAAATATACATAAAAGTAACAAATTAAATGTTTTGTGTATAAAATTTGTATATTAAAGTGTTACTAATATGTATTTCATGATAAATATTTACCATATAAACATATATACATATTTTTATTTTTAAAAAACAAAAAAAAAATAAAAAAAAATATAAAAAATATATATGGACTGGGTCAACCGGGGTTGATCCGGCCGGGTCAATGCCCCGGGTCGGCCGGGTCTCTACCGGGTCGGCCGGGTTTTGACCGAGTTTGACCGGGTCCTTGGTTGCCCGGTCCAAATACTCCACTCGGACCGGTTTCGGCTCCGGGTCGACCCGCCGGGCCGGTCCGGGTCTCAAAACATTGTTGTCAAGTGTCAACCATTATGCCTCATATTTCATCGTTTATCCCTTTATTTCAAAAATATTTACTACGTGATTTGCATTAAGGTTTAAGAGATTATTTTTATGAGTAATTAAATATGTATCACTTGATAATTAAGTAATAGGTAGAGTTTAATGGTTGTAAATATGTAAGCCTTTTAGGCCATTTGAGATCCACAAACATATTTAGGGGTCCTGACTCGAAAAATAATTTATAGTTTGCACTCACTCGAAAAATACACTATTATCACTCAAAAACTACACTATTAGTCTATTACAATATGAGTCAACCTAATTCGTATTAGTTGGTGTTCTTCAATTGCATTGTTAAAAGTACAAAACAGACGCTTGCCAAAATAATACTCCTTCCGTTTCTTATTAAATGTCGTTTTAATTTAAAACTTCTAACTTACGATTTTAATGGGTTGTGTAATAATCTTATTTTTTAATCTTATTAAATTTAGTTTTTGATTTATTAATGGGTGGTTTTTAAAGATAATGATAAGAGATAATGTTTGTTAAAGAGAATAAAGATGTAAGAATGAATATAATATTTCTAACGACAATTAATTTGCAAAAAAATTGACACCCTACAACGACATTTAAAACGAAACAGAGGGAGTANAAAAAAAAAAAAAAAGTACAAAACAGACTAAAATTGAAACAATAGAGGAATCAGTTTACTATTTTATTGGATCAGTTAAGTAGAAAGTCTAAAGAGGTTAATCTGTTAGTAAAACAGAGCAGGCCCAATTTCTTATTCTTGATAAGTGTTGTTTTAGGCTTATAGCCCACAAAAAACTCACGAGAATAAAAAAGGTCCCAAGATAATGATATACGAGTCGAATCCAATTCGTCTTTTTAGCGACTGAAACAGAAAGTAATAATAATAATAATAATAATGATAAAAGCAAAAGAAAGGGAAATTGAAAAGAAAATAGTACTATAATTTTATATCGGTATGTCCGAAACCTATGGTCAGTAGTCAGTACTCAATCAGTACTGCCCTGCCCATTACCACTCAAACACCACCGTGATCGGGTGCCGACGGGTAGCCGGATTCGGGTCAAGGATCTGGCTCGGACCTCAGTCACTCTCAATGGCGAGCTCCGCTTTTACTCTCTCCAGTTCCTTTCTTCCCGCCCGCGACAACCTCGTGTTCCTCAAAGGCGGCCCGGTCGTCCGGCGAGCCGTCCGGCTCGAGTCAGACGCTGCTCCAAATGGGTTAGGGCTCCGGCGACTGCCCAGGTCGGATTTTCGCGTCGCGGCCACCTCCGACCAGCCAAGCCCTTCAGGTTTAAGTATCTCAGTGTGCGAGAAATTTGTTGATAATTAAGCTAGTATTTTTTTACCTGGATTTCTGTTTTCCCCGTTTGCGAGAGCTTAGGATACACAAAGCTCTTGTCGTTTTTAGTAAAACGAGATTAAGGAAGACGAATGCACTGGAAATGTGATGAAAATTAGTTTCCCTGTTATCATAATCGTGTCTTTGTGCTTATTTTAGCTGGGATTTATGCTGCTTTTGGGGCCTTGAGCTTGGAATGATTCATTTTCAGAATGTCGTTAATAGTCTTGACTGGGCCGACTATGGTTTATTCGTTTGTCTTATAGTATTAGGTGCAGAAATAGAGGATGGTATTTAATCTTGGGTAATGTAACTGGAAATTCGAAAAAAACTGCAAGGTAAAATTTTGAATTAGGAATGTTTGTGAATGATGGTCCTTTACAAGACGTTCTAGTGACGATCATAGGTCTGAATGAGGTCAGTTTCACAAAAATAACATTACTCTAGCGCTGTCGGTTTTATTTAATTTTTCATTGTTTCTTGTCATAGCATAAAAGTTGTGCATGGTTCTTTNCGATAGACTTCATTAAAAAACACGTAATTACAGACTAAAAAGCAGCTAAATAGCCGAATAAATAGCTACTTGACTGAATCTAGTTTGGAGGAATAACCCCATAGGCCGCTAGTCCGAGGCATCCTAGAACCAACCTAAACACTGAAAAACAACACTACAATACAAAACTCCCAACAGGAGAATACAAACAACTCCCAACAGGAGAATAAAGCATGGTTCACTTACTTTGTTTGCGTCTTTCTATTTCAATTTATATTGTCCGTGTATGCACGGTATATAGCAATAATTTATGCAGTTTAAAATTGTTGTACTTATTGTTTTCTATCTAAACATAATTAGCTATTCTCTGTGGGTATCATGCATACCGAACTATATCAGGCATATCGATATCTCATCAAATGTTCTGTTTTCGATTGCTAGCATTTTCTAAGTTATTCAGCTAGTATCGAACATTCTTTAGAGGGTTTTTTCCTTTACTTCCTTTTTTTTTTTTCATCACAATCCTTATGCTAGTTGATTTCTGTCTTTTCGTTGCAGCTCAGGGGATCGAGAACGTGGTAATAATAGGATCTGGCCCTGCTGGATATACTGCCGCAATATATGCTGCTCGAGCCAATTTGAAGCCAGTGGTCTTTGAAGGATATCAAGCTGGTGGTGTTCCAGGTGGACAATTGATGACGACAACCGAGGTGGAGAACTTTCCGGGCTTTCCAGATGGTATCACGGGTCCTGATTTAATGGAAAGGTGTTTTCTTTACTTTTAGGATTTTTTTTTTTTTTGTTTTTCTTTTGACTGGATGTATATTTATTTCCTATAAGTTGATTTATGGTTCAAATATTCTAATTTTGACTGTATTTATATTCTGTTAGAATGCGACGGCAAGCCGAGCGTTGGGGGGCGGAGTTATATCAAGAAGACGTGGAATTTATTGACGTGAAAAGAAGACCTTTTGCCGTGCAGAGTAGTGAAAGCAAGGTGATCGAAGTTTCGTCTCGTGCATTTTTTCTTCTTCTTCTTCTTCTTCTTCTTGTTGAGATGAATCTTTTTCGGCGCATTTACTCGTTGGTAGAGAGGATTTATCGTGATTGAAATGCCGATTTGTATGATTTATCGTATTTTCAGGTGAAATGCCACAGCATTATTTATGCCACGGGTGCCACTGCAAAGAGGCTGAAATTGCCTAGAGAGGACGAGTTTTGGAGTAGAGGAATAAGTGCTTGTGCCATATGTGATGGAGCTTCCCCACTGTTCAAAGGCCAAGTTCTTGCTGTTGTGGGAGGAGGCGATACGGCCACAGAGGAAGCTTTGTATTTGACGAAATATGCTCGACATGTTCACTTGCTTGTTCGTAAGGACCAATTAAGGGCTTCGAAAGCAATGCAAGATAGGTAAGATACGTAGTTACAACTTACAACTACCAACACTACTTATTTATGATTTACTTTTTCGATAGTTTTTTTTTTCTATAGATTCGTTTACGCAAAATATGAGAGTTCAGTCTGAGTTGCCAGGTATGATTTATGGATTTGCTCTTACGAAATGTGTTTATTTATTCACTGT